TGTGTGTGTGTGTGTGTGTGTGTGTGTGTGTGTGTGTGCTGTCTCTTATACACATCTAGATGTGTATAAGAGACAGGTTGAGGGGGTTGGAGAGGGTGGGGGGGTTATTTGTTTGGAAGGTGTTGGTAACTTGGGGGGCGTTATAGGAAGGTGGGGGACATCGGAGGGTAACTCCCCATAACTTTTTCAATTTGGTCTTTTGACGAATAATATTTTTTTTTAACGAAAACAAAAGCAACCAGCCAAAATAAGCATTTTCATTTGTTATTTTGTAGGTAAATTCGTTTTTCTTTAAATTTTTCAATGTCATCAAGCTGTGGAGCTTGAGGCGACTGTAGCTCAGTGACCCCCCCCCCACAAAAAAAAAAAAAAGAAGAACACCACTCTTTCGTGGTCGGTCCGTTCACCGTGAACCGCCGTTCACAAAAAAAAGCACCAAATGAACGGCCGGTCACGTTCAAGTGACCGGTGCCCGTCATATTCACGGGTCCGGCACTGGCGACGGATGTCCTGGTTTCACCCAATAGGGGGGGACAACATAAACAGGCGCGAAAGGACATCAGCGACCACCATCCAGTCCATCTCCAGTTTCAATCCTTTCCAAGCTCGTGGAAACTAGCTATTCCAGCTACTCCGGTGGGGTCCCGTCATTCCGCATCCAAGCTCTTCCAAACACTCTTCCACGGAAACCTGAAACTAGTCACTTTTTCAACACTTCTTTTGTGGGGTCCAGGCCTTTGTGTTTTCTTGCCCACTGAGGTTTGTATCTTTTTTCAGTCCCGTAAAGCTAATGCGAATTCGCGAGGACCTCTAGAGGTCCTCTCAAATGGCTGCACCCAGCGGTCCAGCAGGCCACTGACATATACTACACGATTTGCAACTTTGCTGGGGGCCGGGGCCTTCTGTGACTGCAATAGAGTAGGAGATTTCATGATTTTGCGAAAAAGACCCCAAGTGCACGTATGCCCTAACTCTAGACGACTCTACTCTAGAAATAAACGACAAGACCTTTTCTTGCAGTAGAGTCACATAAACGAGTTATAATTACACTGTGGGGCAAGATAAAGTTTGCAATTGCGCTTCAGGCACCCTACCTGGCCAGAAAGCTGGGTTGTACACATCACCCGAACTGCAACTCGAAACTGTATCTTGGCCCAGAATGCAATTATAACTCGTTTTTGTGACTCCTGCGTAGTTTCCCCTTTTCTTTTTTTTTTTTTTTTTCAGTAACAGAGAAAAGACAAGCTTTGTGCTGTCACGGTAGAGGTGGTTGTTGGCCCAGACACGAGGCCTACTCTTGATTTTCAACGCGGCATCAAGGGTACAGGCGACCACACTTGAAAAAACCACCATCACAGGCAGGTACTCTAGAGCAAATCTGAGCGATCCAAATTCTAGAGTGTGCAACCATGGGTTAGTCTGACAGCTCTAGCAAACCATTTTATAAGGATCCATTCTAGAGTTAGTGGAGCCACAACTCTTGAAGAAAATTTGCACGACAGATTTCTAGAAAAGCGGTACTCAAGATTTTTCTTGAGTCTAGTTTAGTGGAGCAAGACACATTGGAACCACATGACTTACATTTCCTTAAAATTGACATTTTTTACTAATTTCATGGAATTGGCCGTCCAAAAATAAAATCAGTATGTTTTAACATTTTTAGCATTTTTTGACCGCACAATATCGGACCATTGATGGCCTGGAGTCTTGACGACCGCAGACCATCTGATGTATCTTGACGTAAGTCTGTCAAGATACATCCACAAAAAAGATGTAAAAAATTCAAGGTGGATCAGATGGCCCGGCCTCCCCAAGACGCTGGACCATCAATGGTCCAATGACGTGAGGACAAAAAAAATGCTTAGAAATACTGTTTTTTTTGGTACGGTCAATTGTGTGAAATTAGTACAAAATGTCAATTTTAACGATTTTAACGAAATGCCTGTAAAACGGGCACTGGAAAAGGTGCCACTTTCTCGAAAACTGGAAGGGGTCTCTCTCCAATAGGTAAGTTCGTTAAGGACTGTCCATCATGAAACAGTCCTCTGCACCTCAAGCCTTTAATGCCATCGGAGGACATGCTCCCCCCACCATTACAAAAAGATGCCACTGTTCTGTAAGGACTGTCCATCACGAAACAGTCCCCTGCACCTCCAGCCTTCCGATGCAATTGGAGGACATGCGCCCCCCCTTCCCGCCCCCCCCCCCCTTACTCGGATGGACACCCTGTTTGGAAAATGTCTAGAAAGACTTCAGGGAGAATATCCCGACCGCCTGCGGTGTAGAAACGCCCCGTCAGTATTTCGGCAACCACCTTCCATTCGCGGTGGGGTCCAAAATTCCTTTCCAGGAGGACCTTCCATACCGGTTTTCCACGCCGGGGGTCTGGAAAACTGTGCAGCACCCAAAGTTTTCCAGGCTGCCGGGGAGTGGGGTCCCCCACCTGTATGGGAAACCGGTATGGAAAGTCCTTTTGGAAACAAATTTCGGACCCTACGGTGTATGGAGGCAGGTCGCCGAAATGCTGACGGGGCTTTTTTTCTTTTTTCCCAATAGCCCTTGCGCAAGCCCTCTATCCCAGTGGTG